CGGCCAGGCCACGCGTGGAAGCCGCCGAGAGCGGCGCACAGCTTCCTGCCCTGCAGCCGGGGGACACGGCTAGGCGAGCACCGTCTGCAAAGCCAGGGCCATAGCCGTGCGGCCTTCCACCCACCCTCGCCCTCCCGGCAAGCCAGCAGCCTTGAGGGGTCTTCGCTCACGCTCGGGATGGGCCGTTTCTGCTCAGAGAGCTCCTGCAGTGGGGAGGGGGGCAGGGAAAGGGGTATGCTCCTGGCACCCAGCAGCACCCTCTCACCACAGGCCCTACCGCTCTGTCAGGCGCTGCAACGACATTTCCTCCCAGCCACAGCGCCTTCTCTGAGCGCTGCCACTTCTCCTGGGACAGTGCCAGGTATTAAATAACACAGCTTTCCCTTGAGGAGCAGGGTCCAAATCCCTCTCCTTTTGCCCAGCCTCAACAAAGAGACCGCGCTGCTGGGAGACACACGGAGCTCATTCTGGTACGTGCACCCTGCCGTACAACCAGGTGTCCATCCAGGCCCAGCTCTCGTGGCATGCTTTGCCGTCTGAGGTCTGCCCCATGATCCACTGAGCTCAGTCTTTCCTCTGGCAGTGGCCTGCACCCTGGGGTTGAGGGATGGCAGCTCCTTGTGGTCCCATAACACACCTGACTAGGCAGAGATGCACAATGCAAAAAGATGGGGGGGGGGGGGCACAAGGTTGGGAGGAGGGTTAGGCGGAAGAAGAAAAAAAATCTTTCTGGTCCTATTTGGCCATCATTTGCTGCTCTGGAGACTAAGACTAAATCGGACTGCGCTCAGAGTGCAGTGGCAACAAAGATTTAGTTCTGGATGCAAAATTATCTAGCCCCTTTACAAGCCTTGTTTTTACCATCAAGCAAGAAGAGCAGGGGAGGCACAGGCACAGCTCTCTGGAAACTGTACAGTTCCACAGGAGGAGTTAGGGGGTGGCACATGGCAAAACCCAAGAAAAACACAAATCCTCTTTACATTAACTACAACCATATCCCACTGTCTGCATACATAAATACAGACCACTCAAGTAACCTGCCTCATCCACAAATGGCTGAGTCAGCACATTTGGCCTCAGTCTCAGCTGAAGAATCTGGTAACTCTGAAAAGTTCATGGCTAGCTAAACCTTCTCTTCCTTTCTTCCACACAGAAGCTGACTATTGCTGTTGCATAAAAAGAAGAGGAATTGCCTCATTTCATGGCATTGCTGTTTCTGTAAGCTGGCACAAGCAAAGCAGCTGGGGTGGAAGTGACTCTGCAGGGCAGCGCTGCAATAGGGGAGAGCCCTTTCTGGGGGAGAGGTCGGACGCTCCCAGGCACACCACAGAGCAGGGTCTTTGCAGGCAGGCAGGACTGACTGACAGCAAAGGGGTTCGCTACCACTTGACTCCAGAAAGCAAGCGTCCTGAAATCACCTCATCTATTTGCTGCCATATTGTCTTTGGAGTGACTCCCCTGAAGGAGGGCTCACATAACTGGCAACCACTCACCCTGAGCCAGGATTAGAGCAAAATGTGGCCTTCTGAGAGCACAGAACTCTGCTAAGGAAGGTGTCCCTATGGCAGGCAGTCTGCAGATATTCCTAGTCCTGTCTTCACACTGTCCCCATTTAAGGATGCAGGAACCAATGCATTTCTTATTTACTAGACGAATATTGATTTTTTTTCTCATTAATGCCTGTTCTGTGCCAGGCTCTGGCTGAAACAAGACCTGCATCCGACTGTACATGCACTAAACTGGCATTCTGAAATTGTTTTAATTACTCAAATAAAATTACCATAATGAACCCTAAGAGCAGAAAGGAAAGGGGGGGGGTGTGTGTCTTGTGTCTGTGAACAAACTATGTTTTGTGTTTAGAACTAACTGATTTATGAAATACAAGAAATATTCAAGCGTAATAAGCAGTTAGTAATTTGCACTGGCTGCTTTTTTAAGACTTCAGGCCTCTTTTGTATTGATAGATTATTATTTTTTTCCGCTTCCAGTCAGTTCCCTGATTCCATCTGAACTAATGACTGAATTCAATTTGTTGAATAAACTGAAATGAAGGAAACACTCACTTTTAACTCACAGAAGAGGCACCTGGGATCGAAAACTGGTTTAAGCACTGAAATAAACCGCTTCCGGATGCTTAGCCAGTCATATTTCCCAGATAAGTATGAGAAATCTTCTTACAAACTGTATCAGCTAACATGTACTGTCTGTTTTTAATATCTTATATTATTATGACTATTCTTTATGATATGATAGTCATATAAGATATGACTATCTTATATGACTATTTTTAATATCTTATTTTGTATATTTGAACAGATCAGAATAACTTTAGACCTATAATAGTTTGTGATTATTTCATGTTTAATTTGAGATAGTTTTTAAAGGAAAATGCAATGAATATAGATTTTAAACATCCAACTGAAAAAAACCCACAAAACAAAATCCAAACAACCCAGGCTCCAAACTTCTTCCTCCTAGGCCAGGGACTCTGGGGGCTGCTTTGGCTTGGCAAGGCAGCAAATCCCATGGGGATGGGGCAAGTAAGTTGTTGGCGTATTAAATTGTGAATCTAAGAACCAATGCCTATGATGCACCAGTTCACCCCAGCAGCACTCACTCCTCTCAGTCTGATTCAACCACATACATAATTGTTAGCTGCATCTCCTGGGCCTGTGAGTAACCTTGGGTGCAGCATCTACTACTCCAAGCCCTGCACCATGCAAGCATGAACTGTGTTGGAGTTCCCTTGAGCCCTGGCTTAGCAGAGGTCCCAGCTCCCAAGAGCTGCCCCTGGCAGGACATTTGGAGGTGCTATAAAGAAATTCAGCAAGGAAATCCCTCCCTTCTGTCCCCACTTCTAGAGAAATTAGATGGCATTTCAAAGGGTTGATGCCCTCTCCCTCTGATGGGGACACTATATGCATATGAGAACTGGCTAGGATCTCTCCTCTGGGAGAAGGGAAACCAAAGACTGGGATGACACAAGAGAAGAAACAATCAGGTGTGAGGTCAGTGCCTCAGAAAGAAGGAGAGAGAACCAAAACCAGCGGAAAGGAAAAGGAGGAAAAAACCTGGAAGAGTGGGAGACAGGCTGAGTCCTGAGTCAAGGGGAAAGCCAAAATAAAGTCACAGAGCAGGAAGGCCAGTGAAGAATCAGAGACAAAGCAACAAATTTACAGACGCAACTGAGGAGAAAGAAGATGCAGATAAGCAAGGAGCACAGCCTAGGCCTGACTGGCTTCTTGTCATCAGCAGGAGTTTCTGAAGATTGGATGGCACTTGCAAGACTGAGTCTAGAAGGTCTCGCTGCTCTCCTTCCTTACACGTCCTGGACCATCAGCTAATAAAGTACTTTCTGCCATCATAAGCTCACTGTGTGGTCCATTCCTGCCTCCTTCACCATCATACCATGCCCAAGTTAGCGCCATCTCCGTGACAGCAGAAGATACACCAGAATGATCATCTCCTAGCTGACCCACAGCTGATCTAAGCTACAACCTTAGACCTCAGGTATAGCTGGCTTGTGGATTACAGGGCTGGATAGAAAAGACTGGTCCTGGCAAGAGATAGTGGTGTCTGGTCAGAAAGGGTTCTCCCCTCTAAACCATTCTTCTGCTGGAAGCCTTGGCGCTTGGAATGTTATAGGTGTTCTCAGCCTCATGACACAAGAAGAATCAAATAATGTGTTGGACAAATTCTACGTTTCGTTCCCCAAATTCCCTAATGGTACGGAGCATCATATGTATTGCCTCTTTTCTTTTGTTACTACATGCTCTTGCCACATACTTAAATGGCATTTGGCAGTTTCTGGGGATTCTTTGAGAGGAAACAGCCAACAATTGAGAAACAGTCCATTCTCTGTCATGTAGACAGAAGGGAGACACACCAAGTAGCCACTGAAGCCAGAGGTGAAAGAAGTGTCCACAACAGGTTTATTTGTGCTCCCCCACCTCCAAAAATTACTTTCAGTAACAGTATCTACTTTCAAGTTCTTTGTCTGAACAAGCACCTCTCATGCTTTGAGCAATTTCTGAGCCTCCTTCCATAGGCTTTATACTTGGTAGCAGAGACCTGAAAGTGACAGTCACCAAGAAGACCCAAAAGATGCTCCACCACAGCTGGTCAGGGACTTGAGTTTGGAACCTACCTCAAACTTCAGTGGCAATCACCACCATCACTCCAAGGCAATGAGGTTCTTTCACTAAGATCTAAAGCACAGCAAGTCCTGCCAGTGGAGGCCAGACTGCTGGAACACCTCTGACCCTTTGCTACCCACTGCTCTCCCTCCAGCACCCTGCAAACCCCACAGTGATACTAGCCAAGAGAGAAAACCCTGGGAGGCAAGGACAGCACGGGGGGGATTAGGGCCCTCCTGAGAATTTCAGCAGAGAAATAAACATATGAAGCTGGGCCCAGGGCTCTCATGGTGCTCCAAAAACAGAGAGAGACACACATTTGTGCCATTGACCCAGAGGAAGAGTTCACAAGTTGGCAGACTGCCATGTCTGGCCAACATCACCCAGAAATCATTGCCCTGAGCTGTCCTCAAAACAAGACAGAAAGACACTGGGTCATGTTTGACCTGTTCCCAGACACCTCCGCCAGTCTACACCACATCAGAGAAATCCAGCCTCACTTTGAGAAGGTCCCAGCTCTCTCCTGCCACCCCTTCCAGGAGAGACATGCACAAAGACTAAGCTGCTGACTGGAGAAACTGAAGCCAGGAACAACTCCCAGGCACTGGGAAGCTTTCACGCATTTGTTACAGAGACCCATTTGTGGTCTCCCAGCCCAGCTATGATGTTGCCCCATAGCCAAGAGGGCAGCCTTTCCCCCCACACACACGCGTGATACTCACAGCCTGCGCATAGGCGCTGTATGGGCTGAACGGCAAGGCGAGAGATGGAGTGAATATCCCCAGCTGCCCCACCATTTGCTGCATACGACGGAGGGTCCTCTCCTTATCTGTGTCAGCAAACTTCACCACTAGACTGGAGGAGGCGCCCTAGGCACAGAGAGAGGAGACAGAGAGAGGAGGCACAGGGAGAAGAGGCCGGGACAGCCAGAGAGTCAGCAGTCAGACAAGGTGGGATGGGGCAGAACAGGCAGCAGAGAGGAGTGGGAAGAGGAGCAGAAGAGCAAATATTGGCGTGAAAGTGCTCAGGAGCTGTCTGGAACCTGGGCTGTGCCCATCCCCATCCATCTGTCCATCCAACCCTTCCCTCTCCCACCCTTCCCGTCACACCTTGGTCCTTGCACAGCTGCACAAGTGGGTGCACACATCCCTGGCTGCATTCACCAAGTGATGGTGCAGCCAGGTACACCCAGGACATTGTCAGCCACAAGCACCATCCTTCCACCACCATAAGCTTGGCTGTATAGACAGAACACTTCCCGGCAGCTGGAAGTACCCCTGCTGCAGCAATGCACTGTCCTGCCCACAAGGTGCCTCAGTCCAGGTTAGAGATTGTGAGAGACAAGATCACAACTGCAGCTCCAATTGCACAAGAAGGCACAGCTGCGGCTACGCAACCCCACACCATGTACAATGTGTTCCCACTCTCACCCAACCTGCCCTAGAGGCCTCCTCTACTGCCTAAGTAAGAGAAGGTGGGGAGTGTGCTCAGACACTGGATTCCTGGCTGCTCACACTGCTGAACTGTTAGCTTGCACCCTGCTCAGTTTTGAACTCCTCCAGGTAGCTGTCTCCAAGACAAATTCATGGCCTGGTTCTTGGCTCTCTTTTATTCAGCCTTTATAGCTATAAGTGCTGTCGCTACCAGTCTGGACAGACATAGATACACACACCAGCCCAGGAGACAGGATGGTTCCCAAAGACAAGAGCACAGATGTGCACACACACAGCCCCCACCCCCCCCCCCCCAACCACACGACCTAGAAACTACAGTTGAAACTGTCATGGTTTTGGCCAGTGAGGGGAAGTCCCTGCAACAGGGTGATTGGAAGAGGATTAGGTAGAGGGTAGGTACCCTGGCCTTATACTCACGGGCATTGTCTGGCTGCCATGGAGTGCGTGGATTGCTGCCTGAGCCTCTGTGTGAGATGAGAACTTTACAAAAGCACAGCCTGGAAAGGGACAGAAAGAGCACAGGAGATTGCAGTGACAGGACTGCTGTGAAAGTGCCCCTTGCATCATCATGCAAGAGACAGTATCTGGGTATCAGGCAGGGCAAAGGAAAGCCACCCGAAGAAAGCACGGAACAAAAAGTATGACTCATCCCAAGTCCTCTATCCTGGAAGAAACAGGAAGGGTCTCAAATTGTTACTTCAATGATATACTCTATAGATGATGTCACCATCTCCACCCTTGCTTCTGATTACCTCTTCCCCAAATTCTCTATGTGCTCCTAATTGGGGGTACAAACATTAAAAATTGCAGACCCAGACTGAGCCAACAGGCTCACTAGTGATCCTGGAAACTCAGCTACTCATGATGCTCTGCTTCCCCTCCTTTCACCTCGGTCTCTGCCCATCTTTCCCAATCTTTCTTGCAGCAGACAACTCTTCCTGCCCTGCTCCCTACGCCTGGCTGTGATATGGGTTCCCATAAAGATGGGGTGGGGGAATAAGCGCCCCAGTGGAAAGGAGGCACAGGTGGTGAGGCAGGTGAGTGCTACCTGAAGACCAGGGAGAAACGGCACAACACACAGAGGGGTTCACACCTTTGCTGTTACCATCAGGTCCACGGAGCACCGTACATTCATCAATGACCCCAAATGGTTCAAAGAGCCGGAGCACGTCATCCTCAGACTGCTGCTTATTTAACATGCCCACAAAGAGCTTCCTGTCCCCTAGGGGCAAACACAGAAACATCAACCTTCTATGAGGCTTACAGTCCAAAGCAGGAGGATAGGGACACTTAAGCACAAAACAGCCTAGCGTTGAAAACATGCCTGGCACGGAAATGATTTGCTGTTGGCTGAAATGCTCCCAGGGGTGAGTATGCAGGGTCCTCCCAAGCTCCTCACCCCCGCAAAGGTTTCTGTGGCTTCCCCTGTCCTACCCTCTCCAAAGGAAAACAAAAGATTAATAATTTCCTTCTATTCATTAGCCCTTTCCTTTGAATGATCCAACACAAATGGTAATAAGAAAAACTGCCTGGGCAATTATACCCTTACTGAACAATATGTGAAGTCCAAGAGGTACCTTAGGAAATACAGCAGACCAACCCAGGCAAGGTGAATAAATTCCAGGACCCTCGGCTTCTCTTCCCTTTTCCTTCTCTTCAAGATCACTGTTTCCACAGCTGCTATGTAACCAAGCAGCTTAGCTTCAATTTACCCCTCCCTACCCCAGTCTAACCAGTATGTCTACCGAGTTGTCCTCTAAGGCCTGGAATAAACCCTGGCATCCTGGGTCCCAATTTGCCTCACCACAGGATCAGCCAAATGCAAGTCAGTTGGGTGAGGGCCAACAAACAGATCCATGGTCCCCACTCCCCCTTCACCAAGGGCATTCTGTACCCCTGTCACACTGGTGGGGGGGCTGGGAGGCTGGCCAACACATCCACATCCAGGGCTTTGAGCTCAGGGTCCTTCTGGGTTCCTTCATCAGAAGGGAGAAGTGAGGATTATGGTTTTGTTGGGATGGCCAACTGTGGAGGTGGGAAGAAAGGTGCACAGTGCTTTCTCCCCCTCTCTACCTCCATCAGTACACACAGGGGCCCATCACACAGCCTGATGCCATCCAGTCAAGCACAAACACAGCAGTGGTTGGGGCAATATCCTCCACAGATTGCTGTGAACAGCTATTAAAATAGCACAACATTAAAATCCCAGCCAACATGTCAGCCCAGTCTCCACCTTTGCAAGGAGATAGTTGTGCCAACTACAGAGTTAACCCTTCCCCACTGCCCCAAACATGCATGGGGAGACATGACCCATAGGAGCGAATGTGTCAGGATATGGCTTGGGAGGAGCAGTGAGAGAGGATTCCTTATTGTTAGTGACAGGATCAGAGGGGCTGGCTTCAAACAAAACCAATGTAATGTGACGCGCGTCAGAGAAAATAGCAAGGAAGTTGCTATCTGTTTGAGAGTGCAGTGACCTGAAAAACAACAGGTCTTGGAGCTACAGCAGCAGAGCAGGCTGCAGGGGTGGTGGTGTGTATGTGTGGCAGGAATGGATGACACTTTACACATTCACACTGCTGGCAAAGCCTCCCCCAGTCCATTCCTTGCTCTCCTTGGCTCAGAGGATGGTTCCCACCCAGGTAAGCAAGCTGCCTCCCCCGCACTGCTCTGCCACATACAGACGCACTTGGGAACACATGCAGGAAGTATCTATGTGTGCCATTGGTCACTTGCAGTAAAGTAGATGCACGCTCAACATCAATGGACAAGCACATAGGCTCACGCATGCACAGGAACATGCTTGTACATTGACCTGGCCCCAGTAGGTGCCTTCAGAAACAAAATTCCACAGTGAGCAAGAGGGATGTGCAGACAGATGTACTCTTCTACCATGCAGACACCACAGGGAGCCACTTGTATGGCTGCACCACCCCACAGAACACAAGCACAAGCTCATGCAGGCACAATTCTCCACTAGACATTAGATGTACATGCAACACAGATGCCACTTTGATCCACCACAGATAAAGGGTTAAAAGTGCTGCACCTAAGGCTCTTACCCAGTCCCAAACAGATACTCCTGATTTATATCACTGGAAGTGGCTGAAATATATGGCCTTGTGTACTTTTTAAAGGCCAAATTTCCCAGCTTCCCCACTTTCATGATTCCCTGGATAACTAAACCTGTGGGAATTTCATCCCCTTCTACTTTCCTTGCGATTCTACATCTCTCCCTGCACCTGCATGACAATGGTTGCATTTTGGAGACACTATTTCAGCTGATTAAGTCCATCAAAAATTCAGTGCATTTTGGAGATGCTATTTCAGCTGATGGAGGCCATCCAAAATTTAGTGCTCTGGCAATGCCCAATAATCCCCAGCCAAGGCACAGGAGCTAATAAACCAGGTGCTGTACAGCTGCCTTCTTAGCAGTAAGACAGCATCTGCCCCCACCAAAAGGCCAGCTCAGAAATGCTGGTGGGCAAACCAGAAAAAAAATAGCACCTGGAGAAGGTGAAAAATCTGACTGGAAGGGGAGTGGAAAAAACCAGGACTGGTCAGGAACATATTTACTGGGAGGTGGAGAGGAGAATGGAAACTAAAGGAGCAGTAGCTCTGTACTCTCATTAACATCACCTGGTGCCATACCTGATCCCAGTTTGGCTATGGGAGGGGTCACATTTCCCCTCCCTCTACCCTGAACCTATATTGCAGCTGCAGCCAGGCCTTATTTCAGATATGTGCACCATCCTGCAGCTTTGGATTGCAAACATGGCAGGAGTTCCTCCGAAAACACATCAGCAAAGGGGAGAAACACACTGGGAAATATTTGCACTGACTTTAGATGCTGTAAAATAATCCTCTGTTCTTTGAACTAACAAGCAAATATTTGGGGACTAAGACTTAACAGCGAGAAATGCACTTGATGGTCTTTGACTTGCTCTTTAGGGAGCCCCGCAGGCTGTCTGGCTGTTTGGGTCAGGGAGGCAGGAGAAGTGTCAAGACAACTGGGAAAATCAGTTATACTAGAAATTTAAAAAGCTGGAACTCTAGGTGGGGGGGAAATACAGCTACACAGACATATGTTACTTTTGTAACATCGGCCTTTTGCTTCTGGATCTGATTTTGTGTAAAGTGAGGTTTTTGCTGAAGAATAGCGGGTAACCAGTGGAGAGTCAGATAAGTGGTTGCAGTTTTGGCTGATGACTAATTCAGTACCATGACCTGATGGTTACCACAGTCACCCAAAGCTTAAGTCTCTGCCAAGCAACAGTCTAATGGATGCAAGAGGCCACAATTTTGCAAGGGAGGCACTGAACAAAAAGAAACCTTGTCAACTTGCAATCAAATCAACATTAAACTATGAGTGACTAGTTGTTTTCTCCTTCAAAGGGCCTTGAAATCTCCTGGATAATTCTTGTGGTTTCATCCTCACATTCATCCTGCTATTTTTTTCCCCTCACTTTCTCTCCAGCTCTTGTTTTTCACCCTCTGATTGGCAATTTCTCATGCTGTCCAGCAACCAGGAAAATTGTCTCTGATTTCTGACTGTTGAGTTCCCATGGAAACATGCTCTGGGCACAGTCAGTCACCCAGGCAGCAGGAGGAGGGCCAGTGCAGAGCAGGTTGCTGATGAAGATACCATGGGAACAAGCAAGGGGTTAAGGCTGAATGCTTTGGCCATGAGAGAGAGAGAGGAGAGCACACAAGCACTGGACGATGCTCCTCTCTAAACCCAGTGGATTTAGGTCATCTGGCCAGCAGCTGCCAGCAGCAAGGATCAGGGAGAGGGAGGAAGCCCACGCAAGCAGTTGGCTGTGGATGGGACGCAGTAAATCTCCTTGGGTATGCAGAGAGCTTCCTTGTCTCTAAGGCAGTGCTAATGGGCTTGGGCTAGCTGTCGTATCACATCAGTGCAGCAGAGTGCTCCAGGTCTCGCAAGAAGCACAGACAAGCTCTTCTGCCCCCTCAGTCAATCTCCTCCTGGCACTCCCAGGCTCACATCAGAGGCGTGAGGGAAAGGAGGAAAGAGCTGACAAAGCCTGTGCCAGAATCATAGGTCCCTCTCTGAACTAATGCAGGCAGCATCTTCTTACTAGTGAATTCCTTCTGCAGGGTGCAATAACACTGAGCATCCAGATATCACCACACAGCCCCTGCAGGGCTTGGCCAAAACTGCCCCTTTGGCACAAAAATTAGCATCTCTTAGACAAGGAGACAAATTGTGGTGCTCTTACTTCATGTACTTAATTTGGGCTGCTTAATTTGAGAGATGTCAGTCCCTGGAGAGCATAAGAGGTTCCCTTCAAGGATAATGCAAAGCAGAGCCTCACTGATGCATGCAGCTGTTCCCTCGACAAATTCCTAGTCCAAGCAGTTCTGCCCCACCCCAAATCTTTCTTTTACCTCCTGTCAGGGTGGGACTATTGCTATAGGGAATGGCTCTTCCCCTATTTGCAAACTTGCTCATTCACTTCTCTGACAAGTGGAGCACAACAGAAACCTTTGGGAAAAGAAACCTGATTCAGACAAGTGTAGGGTGCTGTCTTGATGCTGCTTCTGCCTCAAGAAAAACTCCACTTTATCCTGGATCCTGCAGGAGTTACTCATTTCTGAGCTCTGTAATGAAGCTGGAAGGAAGCTAGGCACATGGGCTGGAGGGAGGCAGGTGTTCAGACTCCAAAGGCTGCTTTTCTCTATGACCTTCTCCATGGGAAGCAGAGCTGATGCCCTGACCTTTGCAGTCATTAGAGACTGTGGCACTTTTCATAGGTTTAGAGATTTCAGAGTCCAGTGCCTTGACCAAAAGCTTGCCTCCAAATCAACATCCTGTATTTGAACCTGTTGGCCTATTTCAGCTCAATTTGACAGAGGAGCTGAGGCATCAGAGATGTGAAGTCCCAACACATTCTGTGACGCTAGGTGGCTGTGTATAGAAGAGAGTCCCTAGTAGTGCCTCACCAGCAAAAGAAAGGCTGCAGAAATGACCTCAGCCTAGTATTGGCCATCGGAGATTCCACAGTTGCACTCATCAGAGAGACACAAACTGTTAAGAAAACAAAGCTGCAGTGGTCAGTCTGTTCACAGCCTGAATTGTCCGTCTGGTCTGTTTTTACTGCTGTTATGTGAGGGCTTAATGCAGGGGCATCAGCTGTGCCTGAGTGGTACTGGTGAAAGTAAATGTGTGCATTCCTATGAATGTGTGTGTCAAGTGCCACATGTATGTATTTGCAAAGTGGTGCACACGTGGGGCATCCATCTGTAGGTACACCTGCCTATGTCTCTGTGTTGGCTGTGAGGGTTGCTATGCAGCCATGTCTTACAGCCTGAGTGCATGGGATCTGCCAGTGTGTACATATAATGGTTTTGTGATGTTGAGTTATTGGTATGACTCAGGATCAGCAAAGGCTTTCCTAGTCTCCTATTGTTTTTTTTTTTTTAAAGACTCATTAGGAATAACCTCAGATACAATTACACAATTTCTGAATTAATTAGAAATCTGGGGTACAAATTTTTAAACTGTGGTGGGGTAAAGTATTGACCACCTAATGGTTTTATCTAGAGGCAATATGAGGTGTCAGTGAGCAGTCAGCTTCCTCTGTCCCCACTGCAGGCACCTCAAAAGGACAGCTCATCCACTCCTAATATCAGTGTCAAGAGTGAGAGAGTGTATTACCCTGAAGGCACTGGTCTCTTTTTACTGTCTATAGCATGGACAAGGACCTTAAACTCAACCCTGAACTCAGGGACTGAAGTAAGGTGCGATGAATCCAGTCGTATGTGTTTTATGCATACTAGTTTCTTCGGAGGCTTAAGCCACGGTTCTTTTCAAAAGGAGCATGTCTAGAGGTGGCATGTCTGGGATTCTCAGTATAGCCCAAGTGAATAAAAATGCCCAGACTTCAGTAAAAGTCAGGTTTCTTATCCCTCAAGTAAATAATGAAAAGTCACAGATTCTGTTTGGAAAAATTATCTGACTTAAACAGATGAACAGTCTCACACAAATTCTCCCCTCCCCACCACTAAACTGCTTTCAGAGGCAGCACCAACAGCACAAGGCATGAAGAGGCAGATGCAGGAATGGAGAGAAGAAGAAAAGAAATGTATCGGTAAGACAAGGAAAAGTGGCAAAACAAGTTCATAAATTTAGAAAGGGCTGGAGTTGCAAACCTTCTCCACCTGGAGGAGGCATCTGAGCTGCTGTGAGCTCCCCATTAAAGTAACAGAGATTCTCCTGTTCCCAATCTTCCAGCTCTGAACTACTCACTATATGCTGCTCTAATGAAGCTGGTCCCCTGCAGGCTGACAGCAACTCTATCTCAGTCCTAAACTCAAGATCCTTTCCCTTCAGACACTATTTCCCCATCACATGCTATTTTCTGCAACAGCACTTTGGCCCTGACAGTGTGATGGGGGCTGCTGCAGGCCTGAGAGTGGAGAGGCTGAGACAGTCCAACAGTGATGGGGGAGGCAGAGGAGTGAGCTTCAGACAGGAGAACCAGCTGTGGAGCAGTGAGCTGAATGGGTTAAAAAGCCAGTGCTGCTGCAGGGATCTGGCTTTTATTGGGCTGACCAGGTATATGGAATGAAGACACCTCTTCCCAACAGCTTACACCCTCCAGGACCCCCGGTGCTGTACACCAAAGTGCACGCCTGCTTCAGTAACCTCCTGGGGCAGACACTGTCAGGCTAATAGTACCCTCAAAGGGCTGCGAAAGAAAGTGGAGTGGGCGGCAACATTACTACCCTTAGGGCTTGGGGTGCTCTCAGCTGCCTGCAGTGCCAAGCTGAAAGCTCCCCATCAAAGCCTATTCCTAGACTCTCCTCCTGTCCCCCCAAATCCCTGCCACACAAAAACATCCCTTCATACAGACTGCAGGGAGAGGAAAGCCATGTCAGGACCCTGTCTGTTTGCTTGGTCCCCCTCACAAGCACAAAGCTGCCAAAGGAGAAACAAGGAGAGATGACAACTACCTCCACGGCTCTCGCTGTCTGCGGGTTTCACTTGAATCGGGCGCGCCATCTGCAATGAAAGAGAAATGCAGAGGGTTAGAGCTTGGCCCACCTGCCGGGCACACGGTGCTGATGGCAGTGGCACCAGGGTGCCGCTTTCTGCCTGCTGTGCAGAGTAGGAGAGTGGCAGAAGGGAACCAAGACATCGTGATGGCAACCAGAACCCTTGGAGAAGGGACCACATGGATTTCTGACTTCTCAGAAGGAAACCTGGTGCTTTTCCCTGCTCAGCTGCTTGCCTGCAGGGAACAGCTCTCCTGGAAATGCCCACCACACATAAAATTTTGCCTCCTCAGACACAGCAAGCAGCAAAGAAAGGACTCCGAGGAAGCAGCTCATCACCATGACACTGGAGCCTGAACAGTGGTCAGGGTGGCCTAAGGTGAGACTATGCCTGGAAGCTCTTCCTATGCCCGCCCTGACTCAGTGCAGGCATGGTCACCTCACCTAATGGAACCACCTTCCTTGCACATGGGAGGAAAGACTCCCTTTGTACTTGGCTAGGAGCAGTACGGCAAGCAGACATGTTATGTTTCCCCCTCCCCAGCCCTTATGCAGCCAGAGCTCTGTGCACCAGAGTGGCTTTGAAGAAGGGCAGTGCTGCTCTCCAGCAACACCTCCTGTCCACAAGGGGAATGCTTAGGAGGAAAGTGACAAAACTCCTCTGGCTTGGTTGGCCAGAAGAGCTGTTTACTTCTCTTGCACCCATTAGTGTAATCAGCAATAATCTGACCACAAGCAACAAGCCTGAGGGGTAGCTCGCCTCACATGATATGGAGACTCTCCAGGTAAGACGGAAGAAAATGCAGCTACTCTTGGGTAGACATGAAGTAACCCACAGCTTTAACTGTCTGATTTGCAAAAGCAGGGCAAAACTCTCATCTGCTGGAAAGCATGCATGTCCTATGCTGTCCAGAAAGGCAACTGACAAGCTGTAGCCTCCTTCCCAGGCTAGCAGGATCCAACCGGGCCAGAATCTCCTCTAGGGAATGGTGTATGAGGCAGATTTCCACATTCACAGCACATCTCACTCCATGTCTCTCAGCATCATTCACAGAGGCTGATAGTTACTTGAATCAGTGGCATTCATAATAAAAACAATTAGAATATCACAGGTAAAACCTGCACACAAGTTGCAGGTCCAGGAATAGTCTGTCTGCTCTCTTAGGAAACACACTCATGAAAAACCGCAACAACAACAAAAGAGAAGATTCAATCAAGCCATAGAAGTCAACAACTGAAATGCGTTTAGAAGCCAGCATGCAAAATGTGGACTGCTGTCAGTGTCCAAGTGGTGGCTGAGCCAGACTGGCCAGAAACCAGAGGTAGAAGCCACATTCACAACAGCTGGAGGAAACCTGTGAAGTAACTTTGCAGTTCACAGGACAGAGATGCCAACCAGCAGGTGACAGGCTGCCATGGCATGGCACACCGCTGCTGAAGCCTGACCGCTGGGCATGGGAGAGCGCTTGTGGCAGGTGGGGGCTGTGAGCTGGCTTCCACTGACTGGTGGATCTCAGGCAGGCTGAGCAGAAGCTGGGACCAGCCCCAACCGATACCATCCCTGCCTCAAGGAGCAACATGGGGCTGCTGGGCAGAGCCAGACTGGCTGGCAGTTCCCCAAAGGAAGGCCAAGCTGCTGCCATGCTGCACCTCAGTTGGCAGCAGTGCCAACTCCAACTCCATCTCCCAGGACTTGCTGTGTCATTTGGGGGAGAGGGAAAGGTTGAGGGTCCCTTTCCCACTCTGGATCAGCTGCATGGATTTGCAGAGCTCCTACCATCCCACTGTGCTTCCATGTGGCCCCAGTACGTGCAGGACTAGCACTCTCCAGCCTCTGGGCTGCTGCTCCCCCCAAGAGCTGCCAAGGACCAGGCACCTCTTTCAGCCCATGAGCTGAGTGGGATGTGGGGCAGGGGTCCAGAAGGATGCAGTCAGACATTGCTCCAGAAAGCCTCAGATTTCCTCACTGAGAGGCAGTGGCTCCTATCGATGCTCACAGCCTCTGGCAATATGCCTGTGCAAGCCAAGGGTGGGAGTATTTCAGCAGCAGGCTGGGTGGGAGAGGGCAGGCTGCCCAGATGTGTGCTCGGAAGACAGGGCTCGGTGCGGAGCCAAGAGGGGCAGCTGGCCACCTCACTCCCCACTGCTCCCACAGCACTGAGAAATAGCTTTGTTTCTACCCAGGATGCAAAACCAGGATTAAGCTAAACAGATGGAGAGGGAGATGGAGAGACAGACTCGGATCTCAGCTTCTATGAGGAGCAAATCCATTTGGGGGGAGGGAGGGAGGAAGAGATGCCATGGAAGGCAAGAGCATCACACCCTCACGTGAGCAGGGACCCACCCAGGGATGCTGGGGCTGAGGGCTTGGGGCAAGGAGTGATTGGGAAAGGATGGGGGGAGGCAAGGGAGAGGGTTAAGTACCTGAGGACATCTCCCTGTCCCCTCCCCCAATAGGGCTGTCACTCCAGCTCCCAGCACCTAGGGTAAAGGAGGTGTTGTCATGGAAACGGTTATTCACCACATGGAACCTGACATTTGTGGTTGCCATGGAAACCAGCTCTTGGGGGCTTTCCCTCTGCTTCGCACAAAAGAGACATTTTGATATGATCTCTGGGGAGGGGGCCCCCTCTACCCATCTGTCCACCCCCTTCCTTTCTTCCCCATCCCAGGGACTGCTATGCAGCTGAGGGTGCACTGCAGGGCCTGCCCCTGGAACGGTGAGCCATGGCTGGCCCTACTGAACCTGCCCGCCACGAGTGAGTGCACCCCACAAGGTCACACACCCACAGCAGGGCAGCACACCCACAGCATGGTCGTGGCACAGTGCCTGCAAGACAGCACCGGTGGTAGAGGTGCCAGCACCGATGCCAGCACAGTGACATAGGTTAGCACTGGTGCAAGTCTAGAAGCAGAGTCTGGCTGCGGTGACAAGAGGAAGCCAGGCTGCCTAGGGTGAGATCAAGCATGTGGGCTGCTCTGCATCCCACAGCTGTGGCCACAGCTTCTCTCTTGCCTACCTGACAGACCACCTTGGCAGGGCACAGGAAGACTCACGCTCTGCCAATATCAGACCAAGCCCTTGGTCAAGGGCCACCCATTTCCAGAGACCTTGCCAGCTCCAGTAACTTTGGGAGCCACCCACCAAACTGAGGTCTGGTCTCTGAGCTGGTCTTCATCTGCTCTGGAAAATGTGCATAAAGAGGAGAAAACAAGATACAAGAAATTTGTCCAGATGCTTGGAGAAGAGCAGCAGGATTCTCTGCCTGCTGCTTCCTGAAATGGGAGGTCTCCCAACTGAGGCAGAGGCAGGCACGGTCCTCCTTGCAGAGAACTGGACACCCAGAGGCTTCCACAAACAGGACAACAACACTTTAATCCTTCTAAGTTCCATGTCGCCATCAAAAATGAACAAAATGTCAAAGGCCTCTGAAGCACAGGCTTGAGCCTAAAACCACAAAGAGAGTCCACAGTTGCTTTAACTCAACAACATACGTCTCAAGGCCTTGAGAAGTGTCCCTGTGGGGTCCTAAACTTTATATACAGGTCTCAAAGAAAGAGCTCTGTCCCCTACAGCAACTCAACACACAGAAAGGATGGTCAAGCTTCAACTCTTCCATTTGAGGGAGAAAGAGGTTAACAGGACAGCAGGGAGGACATGCTGCTGGCTTGTACAGCAAACTCTGGAAGTACAAATTCTTCTGGCCTCCAGTCATCATCTCAAGCTGCACAGTAATCAGAGAACACACCTGACTCTAAGAAAGCTGTATTTGCACATGCCCAGCTGGGCCCAGAATCCAAGAGAGTCAGGATGTGCCTGCTGCAAATTCCAAGTGCCAAGTAGATGCACATGCACAGACATGCATGCCTTTACCGCACAAGAACATAAATATACATGAACACACATGTGGCACAGTGAACTTGAGCAAATGATTTATGAGCCTGTGCCTGTCTCACTAGCTGAACTTTATTTTCCTCATTAAATTATTCAGCTGAGCGTTATTATTCTTCATTTCTGAAGAATATCACATCAACATTTTGCACATGCTGTCAGGCCACCACAGGCCAAAAGTCCCTCACCCCCCCACTTCACGGTCCTTCCTACCCGCTGCTAACGACAGACTAAGAGCTGTCAGCTCCATGACCCACTGGACTCAAGAAACCTTCTGGAGCCACATGCAGCAATGGACACCAGGTAGGCAGCACATGGGAGGGGGCAAAGCTCCCACTGCCCCCCTTCAGCTTCTCCCTCACATTTGCCCTCATGGCTGGATACACACCTTCCCTTTCCAAACATAGCAGTGCTTACCCTCCACAGCCCACAGCTCTCACAGATGATGTTTCTCTGTCTGCATTGCTCTCCTGACAAGCACGCAGCCTCTGTTAGCTTGCTTTCTTTGGGGTTACTGGTGGGAAGCAACTGGCCAGCCTGATGAGGGCACAAAGCTATACTGACCACTGGAGTGTTACACGCTACAAAGCACAGCAGCCACATTTCCTGCATAGCCCTCAGGGAGCAGTGTGGAGATACCCAGTGCTAGAGAGTCACTGCAGCCCAGAGGATCCTAGAGATTTCTGGGGAAGAGGCAGGCGTGAGAGGCCTTGCTGGCAAGTGTCTAGATTACATCACACCCCATCCCCAGCATCTGGTCAGCAGAGAGAAATGAGGAATTGTCCTCTGTCTGGGCTTCCTCCCTGCGTTCAAGGTAATGCTCCCCTACCCTTGCAGCACTCTTAGGACCAAGGATCTAAGGAAAATTCCTGGCCCTGCTAAAGTCAGAGGAAGCTTTGCTATTGGTTTCACCAATGCCAAAATGCACCATTTCTCTCACCACACCCCAGAAAAACCATTCTGGAAGTGAACTAGCTCCCCACGTTTACACCAATGCCCAGCATTAGCTGTCATCTCAGCAATCTGGTAGCCACGTTCTCCAAAGAGGAGCAGTGACCCCTAGCTCTCGCTTCCTCAGCTTTCAAACTGCAAAAGCTGGATAGAGGGAGAAAGCC